TGTATCTCTTCCTCCGAGCCGCAATATTAGCTTGCGCAACATACAGTTAATAAAATTAGTTGTGCTCTCGGTACGTAACTGTATAAACGTAGTATACTAATGCGACATAATTACATGAATTATGAAAAATAATCAGAATATTTTGAACGCTAGTATAAAACTAAAGCAATGTGGAATGTAGTAAAAAATTCGACCACGTCATCTCGTTATTTAGAAGAGAATGTTGTTTTAAAGGATAATGGAAGAGAAGCCAGTAAAGTGGCGAATCTATTCAACTACACTTTTCTAGAATTGCGGCTGAACTCACGAAGGGTCTAAAACCGCAAAATTCAACATAATTACATTCCTCAAAAATGTTCGACACGATGGTTATTTCTGAGACATCTTCTAATAAAATCCTGAGAATCGTCACTAAACTAAAAAATAAATATTCATCTGGTTTAGATGAATATCCGGATTGTTTATTGAAAACTTGTGTACCTGCCTTTATACACCCATTAACTCACATTTTTAATGCTGCTTTATGCACAGGAATATTTCCAGATATTTTCAAAACAGCAAGAATTAAGCCACATTTTAGAAAAGGGAGCAAAAATGAAATTCAAAATTACAGGTCAATTTCTCTTTTGTCAGATTTCTCAAAAATATTTGAGAGGCTTTTCTATACGCAAATGGAAACTTTTCTCGGGAAAAACAAAACGTTTTCAGAATCACAACAGTTTTAGAAAATAAAAATCCACTGAAACTACCAACTACCATTGTTAGCAATGCAGAAAAATCATACTTGCAATTCGTTTACCGAAGCAAATAAGTTTAACTATAACTATAACTCGGGAAAGAAATGTCTACTTTTTTCAACTATTGCTAATCTCGCGCTTTTTTAAATTTTATTTTTATTTATTTCTTTAACTTATACTCATCTTTCAATTATTTATAGTTAAAATGATGGGAAGGGATTCTGGAACTGAAGAAAACGTGCGCAGATAATCTTCTCCCCCACACGTCACGTAGAGTTCTTACTGTTTTTTGACTAAATAAATCTAAATCTAATGTGTACCAACTGATCGAACCGAATTATAAGAGATTTCACAACTTCGTTTAAAACGAATAATACTTCCACTTCCAAACAACATGGCACGTTCCTTTAAACGAACTTAGTATTGTTCATTCGACTATGTTCCAATTGCAATTTTAATGTTTATCTCAGATGCATGCATTCTCTATGGATTAAAAGCGTGCAAACAATAAAGTGCTAACAATAGAAATAATATTTTGTCTGGTGCTTTCTTAAAGAAGATTGAAACTGGAAAACTACTACTTTGATTTAAGGAATTCTTTGTATTTTCGAAGATAAACAAATGAATAATATAATTTACCAAAACATTAATGATATATCGAGTACGGATTAACGTGGGTTGATTTAACAGACGATCATAAAATACTGAAATCCAAGCAAGGTCATCGCATCGAAAGTTCAGGCATTTAAGCATTTATTGCACTTGAAATAGTCAGGAAAAAAGCATGTAGTTTTTCTAGAATAGGCATTTATATTGGCGAAAAGAGGGGTGGAAATGGAATGTAAACAATGAAAAATCATCATTCAAAAGGAATTGACAAAAATTAATAATTAAAATGATTCAAATTTTCTAATTCTAAAATTTACATCAACACTTACATGGAAGGAAACGATATTTTCTTTTCAACCTTGATTGCACATGGCCACCAGATTTTCTGTCCACAATCCGACCGTCAAAAAGATTACGTCATTTGCTACTGAAAATTATTATTAGTGGCTCGCTAAATTTCGGTATGACTACGAATTTGGTTTACTCGCGACGCTGACTACGAAATGCTTTTGTGATCTCTCTTGTGGATCGTGGCATGGCATCATTGAAAACGCGATTAGTTTATCGTTCTTCCTACTTCTGTTATCGCCATCATTGAGAAGGCATCAATTGTGATGTACAGATTTCTACAAAAAGATGGGAGAACACAGGATGGAATTCCTCGTGAGCGAACAAAGCCTGTCAGTTTCAATGAAAAAACAACAACAAAATATCTTCACTAGCATCATCTTCCTTTCACGTTTAGATTTTTGACACTTCTGTGGTCACGTGGTAAAAGTTCTTGAGTCAAAAATCTTAGTTTGGAAAAAACAAGGGTTAGATAAGTGAGTCGTTATTGATGAGTGGTATGAAGCTTTTTTTCCCCAACGTTTTTTGTCGTTAAGGAGGCAACATTTGAATTCGATCGTTTTACTAAAATAAAATATAGATACTTAACTTTTAGTTTCAGTACTTAACCCAATTTTGCCAAATATTGACTTAAGAACTTTTACCCTGTGACCACAGACTTCGTGGCTGTGGAGCCTTCAGTTACAGAGAAAGACAAAACGCGACATTGTCTTCGTGGTGTTCTGCCTGGCAGATATTTTTCCAGCTTGATCGAAATTGGTGCCCGGAGAAAAAGGAAAACAATTATGAAAAGGAAGAAAAGGCCAAAATACAGCAAAATACTAAAAATAGGCATTAGAAACAATATGCATACAAATGCAAAATAAAAATCTCCTAAATCAACTCCAGAAGTATAGTTAAGCAATTCCTATTGTTGAAAGTCTTCAAAACGAATCCATAAGAAAAACACATTTTAATAAACTTCCGGACTCTAGAGATCAGTCAACAATAACCATCAACTAATAAAATTTATTTTGTTTAAAAAACAGTGAAATTGGAAGTGTTGGTATAGTGATAACATACTTTTTATTGGGTGCATTATTGTTCAGTTTTTACACATGTAGAAAATTTCTGAAACAAAAATGTGCTCTAGAATTTTCTATACCAGATAAGATCGCAGGCAATATCGTTTTGTATAATTAATTTAACTCACTTCCACACACAATGTATTTTGAACATTAACATTGCATTTTTATCTCGAGTCCACATGAGTGAATAATTCATATACAATGCAACGAAATATTTTTTCATTGCTTGTTAACGAATTTTTAATAATTATGGGTTATGAAAAAATGTTTGTTTACAACTCAACAATGGTAAAGTTGGATAAAATCAAATTAAGGGAGAATTATATTCCGTGAGTGAGTACGCTCTGTTCAACAAATGAAGTTGAACGACAATGATGACTGCAAGCGTGAAGGTATTACAGATAACTGCAACACGAGCGGCAGAGATCAGCATAACGAATATCGCTGTTCCGGTAAAGCGAGTTACATACTACGAAAATCTGTCTACATTAGAATAGTGAGCAATTACCTATTACTTCATTAATAACAACAAATTACAAAATAAACTTAAAACAAATATCATTTGAATAATCGAAGTACATTTTATGACATAACAAATATATGGGAATGTAATTGGTAATTCAACGTTCAATCAACAGCTAAGCATTCATTTAAGCATATTCTGGCGTATGCAAAATAAAAGTAGGGGACAAAAAGCATGTAGGAAGAGGGATCTCAAAGTAAGGCACACTAGCAAGTTTTTACTGCGGCTATAATCGATTAGCAGTAAATATGTTGAACAGTTAGGCGCGTCGATGTGCAGTACGTTTTAATACAGTAAAGTACACACTAGTTACTCAGTGCACTTACTTTATATGAATATCTTAGTCAATAATAAAACTAATACAATTTGTTCGTCGCGAATTGTCCATCTCGGGACCACGCAACCGTGCAACCCACCGGAGCTCAGTCATATTTATCGAGGGTAGGTGCATGTGACTTTTATGGGGAGGATCAGCATTTTCATGCTAAATCCATTTTTACATCCAGTGTTGTTAGCCCTGGTGGATGAGGTGAAATGATAATAATGATGAAGAATAAAAAAGGACAATCACATACAGAGACACAAACACCCGAGGCGGGCCTTAAACCCGCGACCCTTCGGTTCAAAGCTGCCATATTACTACTGCCTTAGAGGTCTGGGCTACCAGATAGTCAATACATTTTATTATTATTATTATTATTATTATTATTATTATTATTATTATTATTATTATTATTATTATTAATTTTATTGATAGCACAACATTTATTGTTATTTCAATGTTTGTTTTTAATTGCCACTGTTATATCAAAATCAGTGGAAATAAAAATACTGTACTCACCCGTATGCTACTCAACTACAATAGAGAAGCACATTTTTAATGCAAAAAATGTATTACAAGGGCAGAAAACATCAACGACACACGATGGCTACAAGTGAGTTCGCGTAAGCTACTTGTCGTACCGCTTCGAAGAATTCCGAGGCCGAGTACTTTTACGGCGCGCGGGCGGGACGGGAACATTTGGGCGAAGGCGCCGCGGAGCGGCCGGGGCGCGCGGCCGACGGGAGGCCATCGAGCGAGGGCCGGGGCCTGCGAAGGCAAACACGCTCTCTCAGCCAGCGAGTTATCGAGCGCGGCGGCGGCGGCGCGAGCGAAGCCAGCGCAGCGGGGCCCATCCAACACGGGGCGTTGGCAAGTGCTAATGGAAGGAAAAAGTCGCCTTCCTTTCGGCGCGCCTTGCCCGGCGTGAAGTATATCAACCAAAAAAGAAGAATACTAATAAGAACGCATCCTGCCCTCATCACTCCCTCGCGTAATCGCGCTCGCAACAAAAAAATAAAACACCGAAAAATCCTCCATCATATCGTACGCTGTGCTAAATTAACACTTCCTTAATAGTCTTAAATAACTTCCAAGTCCTGTTCCCTCTGCCCTGCTTTGATTAATTAAAAACTTTCAACCGCAATTCCGACGGAGCCCTCACGACAGCGCCAACCCATCCCCCCACCCTTACGCCAAATCATTACACCCTAAGTACACTCCTGGTTGGTAGAACTGTAACCCCCCGGGGGTCTCCGGGCGCGGCGCGGCATTGGCCGGCGCTCCGCCAATCGATGCGCGGCCGCGGCGCGCGCCGACCAATGCCGGGCCGCCTCGCGGCCTGCGTCCCTCCCCCACTGTTTAGTAGCTCTTAACACATGCTAATGGTCCTTCCCTCAGTGTTCAGAACTCCTAATATCCTGGGTGGACTTGGCTACCGAGCCAGACGTTCGCCAGGCGCCGTTTGCTCAGGTTCTAGAGAGAGGGGAAGTGAATGATCTGAAAATGCAGCAGTTCAGGTTGTTGGAGTCTCCGCCGCAGCATATCCCGGCGTCCGTGCAGGACTACAGCACGAATAAGAACGTGCACAAGACGACGAACACGGTGGTCGTGGACATCCTGCCGCCCGCCTACACCACTGCGTCGCTCCTGCAGCAGCAACAGCAGTCGGCGTCGCCGCCGTCGCAGCCCGTCACCAAATCCGAGCCCTCGAAAAACGGTGAGTGAGCGCACATTTTTCCTTTTCGAGGTCTAACGGTCGCGAGAAAAACGCCTGAATTTGTTGCAAACGACTTCGAATTCCTGGTGAACCTTCTCGGAAATAATTTTGTCATCACATCTGTCAAAAATAGCCAGTGTTTTTCTTGACACTTCTCGAAGAACATCATACTGGTGTTTAAAAAACTGGTAGTCATTTGTTGCATTTCTTGTTGTAAAACGGAATGAGAAGACAGATATCATGAATAGTCTTTCTTCTCTTCACGATAATTGCTTAAAATATGTACTTCAATGTCATGTACTTGACGTTCACTGCTTACCTAAGTACGTATATCTTTCATTGTCACGGGACGCAAACAAATTGTTGAGTTTCAGGTGCATGAAATCATATTATTTCTTTTTCGTTTCATAATATATTTCAAGTTAAATGAGCTATTCAATAAAACATTAAATAACAAAGCTACCTAATCTCTATTGTAAAACTATTGTCATATTAAGTAAATGCCGTCTGATAATATTAACACATTGCTGTCTTTACGTCATTTACTACACGCCATTCCAACACAAAATATTTCTTAGACAACGACGTTGACAACTAAATACGCATGCAGAGCTATCTGCCATTTGAAATAAATCATACTGTTATTCTCATTGACAAGCGACTGTAACACATCGTTGCCTTCACGAAACACATGTGACAGTTGGCGCTTACAAAACATGAAATAAATGGATATCTTATTCCCTTATAGTGAATTTCTTGGAAAGATTTCCAAACAACAAAGAATTTCATTGAAAGGAATTTTGAATTTCGTATTAATTTTGACTCGAGAATCAATGCCACGCGATTCGTTTTAAAACTTTCGAGTTCTCGCACGACCTCGCTTGACCCCAGTGACGAATTCACGAACAACCCTTCTTCCTTCGCCTCGGCTTCAAAATTCCCAAATCCGCCTTCGGGCCTACCGCCCGGCTTACTTCAACGGGATTAAGAAACGGCGTCGTTAGCGAGGAGATGGGGAGGTGAGAAACGCACAAAGGCGAAGAGAGAAACGGTACACGGGTGGGCAAATTGTTAAGTAGATTTCTGCAGAAGTGCGGCTTAGGCTAATTGTCTCGCGGCCAGCGCCGCCGCCGCGCCGCCGCCCAACCGCTGCCGCGCCGGCCGCCGCCATGCCTTTCCCCGGCCGCCCGGCTCCTGCCACGCGCGCCCACACACTCCCCCGCGCGCTCCACCATTCCCGAGAATTTCCTTCCCTTTATCGGTATTATGGCGCATGGCTGATGACGCAATTTATATTTGTAATTGCTTTCGACGTAGGATCTTCTTCCTATTTACTTTTCGTAGGATTTCGCCGACTACAATTTCTGTAGTTTTTGCCATTCGACTAACGACTATTTAACTTTTCGGTTTTTATAAAGCTTGTGAATTGTACATTATACTTTTTTAATTTTTGTTGTATGCTGCCATGTTTTCCGCATGTTCCAAATGTCAGGACGAGGAGAACCCTAGGTTAAATACACACAATATATTCGATAGATTTATTCGTAAAAGCAATGGGCTTTATCTTCTTGTAAGTTTTGTGACAGATATAATGATTTACATCCGAAGCAAATCAGGGGACTACATGTTGAGAATGTATCATAATCGTAGTTTCGGTAATATTTCCCATTCCGACGTATTTCTTATATTTGTTAATTTATGTGAAAATGAATAAAATTTATAATTTATTATTATTTCTCCTATTATTACATTTTAGAAAGGAAATTGACTATTGCTACGAGATTCATCCTGCCTTTAAATAACTGCCGCTCTTTATATCCTGTTCTATGTCGTCTTCCGCAAATGTACACAACAAAATTAGGATATTTCACGCCGATGAGAAATATTGTATCTGAGAATGAAATCAATAATCACATTCTTCATGCCTCTTAGTTTTTGAATTAGTATTAATATGGATTTGTTTGGGTAGGTATGGGATTTTATAATTCTGCTCTCTGGAGTACTGTTTCAATGAGATTTATTGTGAACTAAAAACTTGAAACATGATACTTGTTGACATGCCTTTCGTTTTTTTAGAGAAATTACTGTTTGCAACGTCAAGAAAATATTCTTTCATTACGGGACATCCAATAACAAACTCCTACTTGTTTATTCCCTCCCTTGTATTCTAAATGGATTTATATTGAAAATATCTCTGTCAGAACTTTTATTTTGAATAATTCTGTAATTCGTGCTTACAGGAACAATGTGTATACACGATCACTGTGATATTCATGTTATTATTTTTCTTTGTTCATTGTTTATATTTCTTATTACAGTGATGCATAGCATTAATTGCGTCGGAAAATCACAATACGCAATTTTATCTAAATTTGTCAAAATAACATTACATGCAGTTGAAAAAGACGTGATATTTTGTAAGGTGCTTCAATATGACAAATATATAAGATGTGAAAGTATTTATGCTGTAATCATACATATTTTGCGATCATATTTTAACATTATAGAAAAATATAATTTTAGTTTTGATTACTTGCGTAAAAAATCAGGATCAGCATTCAAAATAAAGAAACTTTCACATTCTTTGTCTTTCTTTCGTTTCGTTCCAATGCGAATTTTACGCGCGTGAAATTCATATTTTATCAACGCTTATTTCGAGAGTAAATATAAACAAAAATGTATTTCATTGCCACCACTCTGTCATCCTATAACAGAAGCAATTACGTCGATAATATGTTCCACAAGAGTAAATGCACCCAAGTCGCGATCTTGTTACTGAGTAATCAAAATATTTTAATCATTAATTTGATCGAAAACAATTCGCGATGACAATTCCTTGAAAAAATTTAATTAATAATTTTTTATTACATACGTACTTAGGAACTGAAACAACGCTTCTTGAACTCTCGATTCCAATTTTCTGTTTTCAAACAATGAGCACGTCAATTTCGAAGAAAGATTTGTTCCCCTCCAATAAATATATTTCAGCATCGTTCGCTCAATCGGAAAACGACATCGCAAACTTCATTACAACCCTTGTCTTCGCTTCGCCGAGACCCGCCCTGAATCATCCCTCTCCCCTCGGGCGAGACGTGGTTTATGGGCGGGCGGCGGGGCCAGCGCGCGGGCCGGACGAAGCCGCGAGCCCAGGGCGGGCAGACGGGGTTCGCCGGCGCCGCGCCGCCACTCGCCTCAACCCTTGTTTAGCCCCTACGGTTAACGCATTTTTCACGGACGAAAGGAGGAATTCGCTACGGGACACAAGTGTACACGGGGCCCTGTTGTACCGCAAACCCCAGCGATTCCTTTTGCTTTGACAGCGCTGGGTTTTGTCGTTCGTCCTCACCGCGGATTAGAATGTGATTGACGGTTTTATGACGAGACATCGAAGGAACGTCTAAATACGTAACTCACATTCTTCTGAATCACACGTTTGGTTATTTGGTGCAAGAATTAATCTAATTACTTTAATATTGGTGCATTTTAATTAACAAAAATTCAAAAGATCGAAACGTTGATGAATTGTGATTTCAATTTTCGATTAATATATATATATATATATAATTTATGCGTTTGTCTGATTAGTGAGCCCAAACATGTTTTATCATAACCATCAGATAGTATGTTTCTATTTATTACAATTGTTTACTTAACTCCCATCCAATGCGAATTAAGTTTTGTGCGCCCCAGATGCCATGCCGTGTGTTGTTTCCCAACTGCGAGGGCGCTGCCATCGCCCGGGGAGGAGCGCCATGGGCCAGGCCACCTACCGGTGCACGTCGCGACGCTTGGGCGCGCGGCGCCGTCGGGGTGTCGCCGGCGGGTGAGGGTGGGGTGGGTGGGGGCGGCGGTCGCTCAACCCCGGCGGTCCGCTTAGCGCAATCTGCTTAGCTGGCGGCGAACGGGCGTGGCAGGTAGATGGGCGGCGAGCGCCTCACGACGCGTGCGCCGCCCTGCAGGTAATGCAGCCGGGTGGACGACCTCAGGAGCAGGTCGTCGTCGCCGCCGGGGCAGACGCTTGTGGGGGAAAGGCTGAAACCACCGAGGAGGAATGCAACACCCCCCTCCCCCCATAAGATGTGTTATTGTTCATTTCGTATTCCTAACATTGATACTTTTTTAAATTTAGTTGGTTAGGTTGGATAATCATATTGTCTCGTGAACTAGAGTTTCTGAAGGCATTAGCTTTTGGATAAGACGGATGTTTGTCAGATATTGGATAGGTCGGGTATTCATAGTTTTGTAAACTGCAGTTTAGTTATTGGATAGGAGGGATATTGGATAGATCGAATATGCAATTTGATTGTCAACTAGTTTATCATGAACAAGTAATCGGCAATGGCTTATCGGGCAAAAAGTGGTGTTAGAATCAATAACGTTAGCTTTCTCCGTTTTCAATTAGGTCTTTTGCATCAATATTAGAAAACATGTTTTTCGAAAGTTTCGACCGCAAATTGTCGTACGGATTTAACAACAACGTTTTCACAACGAATATGCAAGTGTCTTCGGTAATGACATTCATTATCAACATTAAGTAGTCTTCTAATTCATAACTTTAACTATTGAACTAATTATTCATCAAGCTAATCGATGTACAAAATGAACACAAGATTGCAATTCACCTTCAGTTTTACAAGCGCATATGATCGGATATCAAAATAATCACAAATCATAAGTTTTGTTGAATTTTAAGTAACTTGCATCACACTAAGAATATGTAATGCTAGTAATATATACCAGTAATAACGTCACCATAAAATTTCAGAAATGCAGAAGTCAGCGGACTTTTAAGACGCAATGAATGAAAGCAGAAATGGGTATGAAATCAATTTCATGCTCAGTACAAAGAAAAGTTTTAACGAAACAGGAAAATCCTCGCAGTTTTTACCTGGCCAGCCGACGTTCTCGGAAGAGTGGTTCCTTTATGTAGGAAGTCAGGACTGAAAACTTCCAGGAATTTTAAGGAAGTTGTTTTCCAGAAAGGCTTTCTGCAAACAAAGAAAATGACTGAATTTCAAGTAACTTCCAATCACATTTTGCAAAATGAGATGACTGATAATATTTCATTACTGTTCACATTAAATTTATTTACATTCCATAAAATTGTTTTTAAACCAAATGTGTGGGATTTATTTCCGCAATTCAGTACCGATTCGTCCAATAATTGTATTCATCTTTTATTATGTCTTGTATGAAGAGAAATTAAATTTCCTTGAAATTGAAAGTCTGACCGTGCAAGTTCAGATTGCGCGAATAATTTAATTACATAATACCTTCAACTAGACCAGATGTGAATATCGACAGAAGTAAATCGACGCAATAATTTCCAAACAGAATTCTATTTGATCTGCGCTGAATATTAAATTGGATTGTTGAAAACTAATGGATTATTGGAATAAGAGATAAGGATAGTGAAACGTGGAATATTTAATTATGGTTCATTTACCCTCATATACTTGTATATATTATAATAGTGAAAATGTAAAGGAAGTTAATTTATCAGACTTTCTGGAAATATCATTGAATTGTATTTTCATGCAACAAAGAAAATGTAGAGTTTTGCGCTTGAACTAGATAGTTATTATCAATTCCTTCATAAACTGTTATAGTAATTCCTTGATTTCTACTTATTTACGTCAGCTCACAAGACGAGAAAAGTGGCCTCAAGATTTCATAATGAGAATGGGACTAAAACATGATCGAACACTACAACCACTCCTTCAACCTATCAAGATGGCTAACAAATTTATCTCGTTATCTTCATTTTTTAAATTTACTTCCCAACAGGTTTACGTTGGGGACCATTGAGGATTTCGTGAAATTAATAAATCACAAATGAGTTAATATAGTTCTCACGGTTATTAAGAAAAATCCTGGTCTTTGAAATTATTTTCATTTCACAATGAGGAATCGCAACCGATCACGATCGTGGTCATTTCATTTGACACCAACACATAGAAATTCCAAATGAATTACGCGAAGTAATAAAATGTAAGTGATTTAAATAATTAGTTTGTTGGGACCATCATATGTTCTGGACCAGCTACTGACATCCTTTTCTCCTCCTCCCATCCATTCGCATCTCTCAATTCCAATACCTTCTATTTCATCTTACATAGGTCGACCCTCTCTTCTCTCACATCGTTATTGCCCCTTTTCCAACTCTTCAAACCCCAATCCAAATTAGTCGTCCACTCACCGTCTCGTAGACAGAGCAATACAGCGCGATAAGTCGCTTCGTTCACACTTGGGGCGAGGGCGTCGGGCGGCGTCTTTGAAGCCAGCGCGGAGCCTGTGTTCGGGAGCGTATCGGCGCGGGGGGGGGGGGGCGGGGGCGGGGCAGCGGCTGCGTCGGACCGTTCGCTCCGGCGGGCGACATCGCGCCTGCCGCCGCTCGCCGCAAGCGCGCGCGTAATGCGGCGGCTTATCGGGCGCTGCATTAACGCCGCCGGAAGCGACAAACGCCCAGCGCCAGCGCCATGGGCGCGGGTGGAGGGGGGCAGGAGAAGAGGCGCCCCGCGCGCTGCGGTCGCTGAGTGCCCGCTATCGCGGCGCGTTTTTGCCACTGGCGTCCTCCCCGCCGGCCGGGCTGTCCTTCGGGCGGGCGTCGGGACGGCGAGGCGGCGTCGCGACGCCCGCTGGACGCCGCGGCCAAACGCGCAGCGGCGTCGCCTGTGTTCGAGTCACGTTGAAACGTCGTGACAAAATAACGCGTTAGAGTAATACCGCACAACCTAATTATTTGGCACTTTGATTTGATATGATTATTTTCGACAAAAACTATGTCTGACAGATGAGGGAGAAGTATAATCTGCGCATCACCAAATCACTCTTTTATTATCCATGGTTGTGTGACGAATGAATAAAACGAACACAGCGGGGTTTGCAACATCTTAAAACTAGAAACGATCACTCCAGAGTTAGAAAGAAGAGATCAGAAAACTTATTTTAATCGGTAAACAAACTACAGGTTTGATTTATTAGTATTGCGAACAAAATAGAAACACACAAGCCCGGCTCCACTCTTACCACAATAAGCCAATAATACACCGGTTTTAAAGACTACATTCATTGCTCTAAATGCATCAGCGTGTCAGGACACGAGTGGGCAACCAATAGGAGTGCAGAGATAAGCTTCTCTTTTTGGTGCACTGTAGTACCGGAAGTGCTTACCTTCATTTAACAGGCTATACAGTTAAGCAACACACTTTCACCTCATTCCTTTAAACAATTTTGGCCTTTGAGTTCCTGTAAATACTATTAATTGTCTTCATATTTATTTTATTAATTAAATTTTAAACTGCTCCCCAATTTCTTAAAAAACCCAGAGTGTTGCTTGCGTATCTATCCGTCCGTTTATTTCAATAGTATCGTTTTGGTTCTGGTGTTTTCATTTACCGTATTTGTGTATCGTCTTCAAACAAGAGCTCACTAAACATTTTTCTTGTAGTTCCTTTGTAAACCAGGGAAAATGACAACAGACCGTTAAACTTCCAAGATATTTTCCTGTCTATGTTAGTTGACTCTGCCTCTACAAAAGAAGCTTTCTTTCAATTAACAGTAATACAAGTTAACATCTTAATACAAAAATGATTAAGTTAACAGGTTTACAATTAATTCTTCGAGTGATTTGTCACCCTTTTACATAAAACGAGAAAAATCTACCCAAAATGAAAGCACAATTATATGTTAAACATGTATATTTTTCTGACTTCATGAATTTTCAATATCTACGTGCAGTCGGCTTTCCCATTCTTCTCTCTTCTTCAGGCCTTTCCATTCAGAACTATATCACTCCCTGCCCTTCCATTCTTCTGTAATATTGTATTTTTATCAGATCTTTGGTTTTTCACTTTCTCGCCCGTCTCTCCCATGCTCCACTCTTTCTGACATAGTCTATGTATGTGTTAACACACAACGTAATGTTGTTTAAAACATTAATTACAAAAAGAGCGACAGTACTGTTTGCACAAATGAAGTGAATTAAATAATTGCGTTCGCTGATTAATAGCAAATAGAAATCGTTCACACTCTTCATTTCGCGACTCGTCTTTCCTACTGTTTTTATATCAGACAGGCCTAAGATATGCTATATATGTTATAGAAAATCCCGTTATATTCAGCTATCAAAAAATCAAGATCGGTCAGGGCTACTAAACACGCGTTCTCCGAGGGATCTCCCATTGGGCAATTAGCCCCTGGATAAAGGGCAGCGCCTCGGAAGAGCCGCTCACGGGGCCTTTGCAGCCCGAAGACGTGGATGCACTCACGCAGCCGTGGCGGCGGCGGCGGCGGCGGCGGCGCCTTCGGCGTGCGGGGGCGGTGTCGCGCGGGCGCCTGGCCGCCGCCTGGAGTGTTTTTGCCGGTTTCCCGCGGGATGTAAAGCGGCGAGGCGGCGATAACTAAGAGCCGCGCCGCCTCGCACGCCACTCCGCAGGCTACTGCGGACGCCGGAGCGCCAAAGTCGGCAGACGCAGCGGTGGCGGTGCCATGCCGGCGAGTTAGCTCTGGGAGCTGCCGAAGATATCACCGCACCGCGCCGACCCACCCCGCTCCGGGCCCGCTCCGCCTCTCCGTTTCCACTGCGCTCCGCTCGCACCGCTCCGCCTCCACCCCGCTCCGCCCGCTCCGCCCCGCCCGCTCTGTCCTCACCTGCCCGCCCCGATCTACTCTGCCTTCGCCTCCACCCAGTCTTGCTTCGCCCCGCCCTTGCTCCGCCCCGCCATGACTCTGCCCGCCTCTGCCTCCCATTACACGTATTGCCCTAATTTGCCTCCCCCCTCCCTCATCACAAAATTTCTTCCCTTCCCCGCTTTGCTCCCGCAACTGGCGCTCAACCCTCTCCGACCCTGACCTCTCTCTCCGCGCCCAGCCTCTTGTCAGTCTCCCCTCCCCCCGCGCGAGCCATCTGTCGCGTCGACGCGCCGGTGCCGCCCCGATAGCCCCCATCGCCCGGGCGGCAGCCACCCAAGGGAGCTTCACCTTATCGCGTCCGCCGCCCCCCCCACATGTGTGCGGACTTCGGGAGAGCGCAGGCCACGTCAAGAACGCAGTTCGAGAAGTTGGCGGGATTTTTCTTAAGGGGCGAAAAAGCGTGAGAACCACCCTAATGCTTTTAAATCTCAAGGCTACGTCTTGGGAAGGTGCATACGTGTCTAGGGCACATCTCTAAACTCTATGTAAAGAATATTGGAACGGAATCGAAGAACCGAACCGTCTATCACTTTTATAGTGATGTAGTCTAGTTATTAAATCATGCTTCACGTAAGATATACCTCATCAAAATTTCAACTTATGTGATACCTTTAGAAATTAATACAATTCCTTATTCAGAAGATTTCTTGCATCTGTATTTCAAAAGTAAACTCAACCGTGAAAACATGTTATCCCTGTCACTAGTAGTTAATATCGCATGTTAACACCAATTGGCAAAGATTAGAGGTTAAAATTCCAAAGCCGCACCATCCACAGTTACGATTGATAGCACTCCACATCAGACTTTCTACGTTTGACATATGAAAAAATCTGGAAGGCGATTTCTAATATATTTTTTCACGAGTTTGTGGATCCCGCCAGACTATCCACTACTTTCAACACTTCGCCCGCAATCTTTACATCGACATCCTACGACTTCTGAAAACACTAGATTATTATATGGTATAATTATGGTATTATAGCACTTATATTTATACTAATTTATCTTTGCTAGACGTCTACACTCTGGTAAAACTTCAAACAAGTACTGTGATGGGGCATGATATTTCCATCAACTAACTGAGGTAACAGAATTCATCCCAGAATATAGCATTTATCTGTTTTGAAGTTCACAATTGTAAAGCTGTCCAATCGGTAAAGCTTCCAGAGAATACACCTCACACTACGTATTGAGTGCATAATGTGATAACGATTGTGATTTTGATTGCAGATTCGAGCGGCGGGGGCGGCGGCAGCAGCGGCGGCGGGGGCGGCCCGGAGGGCGGCGCGGGCAGCATCCGGCGCTACCGCACGGCATTCACGCGCGAGCAGCTGGCGCGCCTCGAGAAGGAGTTCTTCAAGGAGAACTACGTGTCGCGGCCTAGACGCTGCGAGCTCGCCGCGCAGCTCTCCCTGCCAGAGTCCACCATCAAGGTAGTTACACTCTGCACGAACGTCAATAATAATAATAATAATAATAATAATAATAATAATAATAATAATAATAATAGTAATAGTATTAATAATAATAATACAAAGAATTTCTCACAATAATAAGATTCATAAAACGTCTAGAAAGAAGAACAAGATCACAGAATAATATTTAATTAGAAGTTCAAAGAACACCGGCAGATTATTAAAATATCCCGTCTGAGCTTTCTTGATTTAATTTCAAATCAATCAATTACGGTTCCGAGTTCATGAATCACTCTATTGTGAAACAAAATAGGACGAGCGCTGGAAGACATAGACGCTGCCTATATTTGTTCAATGAAAATTTGGGGGAACAGAAATGACGAAACCGATAATCATGGAGAAGCAATCATTACATAAAAGCGATACTCATACATAGCAGGAATTAGAGAGGATGAATCATAGAAATATTCGTTACAGGAGAAACAAGGAGAATAATCTAGATGTACCTAATTAGAACTTACTCGACTCGACTTAAACGAGTCAAGAGAACACACAGCTAGCGGAGATTGGTACAAGCTATCAAGCCGGCTGTCCCATGTTGTAGATGTACTGTATATAAAAATCCTCAAGTCTAAATGGAGCCTCTAAGCTAAATTCAAATCGCATATTTCATCTCCCAAGTAATACCTTCTTTTTCCGCTTGTTAGTGAAAAGAGCGTAATGAAATTTGCGTGGTCAGCCAGAAGAGCAGGTCTCATGGCCTGAGTTTCACCACGTAAATAACAATGCATCATTGCACTGAATTGATTTAAAAGAGTGTGTTTCACGATGAAATGAAACGTGCGACGTTGGACCGCTGTCGCACACGGAAGTGGGAGGCGCGGCGGGTGAGCGGGCGGCGCGCGTCTCCGGGCGCGGGGTGGGCGGGGCTTTTGTTTCCCGGAGGCCGCGGCGACGAGGGCCGCAGCGCAGGCGGAGGCGAAGGCGGAGGCGGAGGCGCTTTTAGCGACGCTTACGGGCCGCCTGTAAAGCGGCGAAGATCAAAGCCGCCGCTCGCTGCCGCTCAACCGCCAATTAGCACCTCCAGCCTCCCGCCGGCCGCCCGCGCCGCCGCCGCCGCCGCGCCCGAAGCGGCTACCTGCAGGCGCTACACGTCGACCCGGTCTCAACGATACCTTCATACGTTATCTAGTCGACGTTGCTACCACGTTGATGGCTTAGAGCCCAAAAATTGTGTGACCAGCATTCCTAAATTCCAGAAACCCATCATTACATGGTCGTAAATGTGCAGTTACTTATGGAGCGTCAATGTTTGCTTTCTGAAAAAAAAAGATCTCTCTTATACGGTAATACAATCTAAATGAACAAGAGATCTCCAAATTGGTATTCACTCAAAACTGGTCACTCGTGGTGTTGTAATGTGTGTGCTCTAAGCCATTGGTATCGTCCCGAATGTGCGGCCCAAACCTATATGTCCTAGAGTCTGTCTGGTTTCACTACAATATGAAAAGTAATTTATCGATCGTCTGAAGGAGAAATTTTCACGATACAAATTATTCATAAAACAGGATTAAAAAAATGTGAAGTAGTAACATCCGCGTTCGTGATATTCACTGCCTCCTTTTGCCGCGTTTATTGCAGACATGTTCATCTCTTATTTTTTCTCTTCAATACTTATGAAACTTAGTTTCGTAGAATTTTCGTTATGTACTAAAATCAGGCTTCATTTAATTGCAATTATATCTACAATTCTGAATTTCATTTGTTACATATGTTTTTAGTTACGAAAACTTTCGAAGATTTCAAAAATTAGCATTTAATGTCGAATACAACTAATGTTAGACGACCTACTTCAATCCGTTTCAAAACATATATTTCTATAAGTGATGGTCGGTTTACTGTCTTAGTAGGATGTGGCCATATCGCGTATCAACACGAAATGCACAATAATATTTTAAAACAATCATAAACTCGAACAAGGAAAGCAATGTGACGAGCACGAATCAACGAAGATGACAAATGCATTAACTTAACTATCTTTCCTCTTCCATGTTTCTTGTTTCGCAAGTTAACCGCACGGGCGTGCAATTTACTTGGTACGACAATATAACGCTCCGCTAAGTAAGCTCTTCGCTTTGTGGGCAGGGTCTGAGGCTCATCGTAATAGCCCGCCCACCGTCAGAGGAAGTACTTGCGAACCTTTTCAGAGAACCGCCTGCGCTTACGTCAGGCCTGGAGAACGCCTGAAATGTCGCCGCGCCGCTCCACGTGCCGGTCGGCGAGTCGGCGATGAGCGGATACAAATTGCTTTCTACAACTCCCGCTGTCGCCACCGCCATTGCTACCACAGCCAACTCCGATGGAAAAAATTTAAAAAAATGAAAAAAACGTGGCCGCAAGTAGTTGACGCCCCTATTATCACTATCGCTACTGCGATCCTTACCAAGTCTGGCCGGCAGTGGAACAGCTAGGGGTGGGGTAGGGGAAGGTCCATGTCGGATGACAACAACGTAAGGATGACACCAATTGAAAATTTTAATTTAAAATTATTTAATGTGAAAGTTTTCAACGTTCATATGAAATATAAAAATTGCATTCTCAGTTTCACGAACATTTTATGACGCTGCGATTTAATTTAAGATTTTTTCGATTATTGAAATTATCAAGTTACATGACGCATCTCCCTCATTTTGAAATCCATTTTTATTTTTAATTTTGTCACTATTATATTACCCCAAACCTACAATTTTCTGATACTACCTTAGTATTAAAAGTAAGAAATAATTTTAACAGACATGACGAATATATTGTCATTTTAAAGAAAAATATTTCCCTACCTTCGAAAACCAAAATTAAAAATTGTTGATTTGGGAGAAGGGTGTCGCCAGCTTTATTGCCCACTCGCGTCATCACTGCTAGCAAAGCAACTTATTGCCACTAATGCCACTCCCGTCACCACCGCTATTCGCCGCAGCGACCCCGCCGCCTCCACCGCCGCCGTCGCCTGTCCCATTGCCACCCTCCACCGACTCCGCCGCCGCCGCCGGCTCCGCAGAAGGCCGCGACCGCTGACGTCAGCGAAGGCGACAAAATGGCGCGGGCGGCGACGACGGAGACGGCGGGCGCGGGCCAGAGGCCACGGAGGTGCTAATGGCGGTTTTGTAGCGGGCACCCGGCACCAGGGGCGGGGGCGGGCGCGGCCACGCGGGTCGAGTTTCTCCGCGCCATCAGCGACCATCAGTAGCTGCCCGCCGGCCGCTGCCTCCGCGCCGCCGTGGCCGCCCAGCGCCAGGCGGGTCGGAGCGGCGGAATCGAAGTGCGTTGGCCAGCTGATCTGCTGGGACGCGGTTATCCAATCGGGAGCTTCTTTTATCTTAAAGTCCCGAGATCATCCCGCTCCCGAGTGAATAATCGCGTCCAGCTGAGCAAGTGTCAAATCAGATATGGAAACCGGAATATAAGAAACGAACTGGGGAGCTAGAGACCCTCGTGAAATAAAATTACCTACTATGCGCCTATTTTTATATACGTTTGTACATATATCTCGTTTATACATACACACATATATACAAATACCGTCAAACATATTAGGCGCTTTGGATTTGGCATTGGTGAGACACTCAACAAGTAAAGTCGGGATATTTATCTTTCTCAGTTCTACTAGAGTATGACAAGTTACTAAGTCATACTCTACATTGCGGTAATATAGGCAGTAGATTTTAATATAATAAATTTGCTTTTTAAATTTATCACCTTACTTACAGAATTATTTGAACAATCAGTTCCCACTCCTGTAAAAGTCACATGAGGATGGTTACCATTATTCAGTCCCAAACGCATCGTATAAGGATTTTTTAAAATCTTGTTTGGATGAAAATGTAGCAAATTTTTATAAACGAGCTTTGCAAAGTAATAGTGCAACAAAACATCTCTGTCAGTTCATTCTTGTATATTACAAGATCTCTTATCGAGCTCTTCCACATAAAACATTCTGGATACGGAACTGGCACGGCTTGCCCATTTTTCTACCGTTCGTCCTTCGCACTGATGGACAGAGCGCTTCTGCTCTCCGCCTGCTTCCTTCAAAGCGCACTCCTTACAGTTTATGACAGTAATAAAAAGACAGTAGTAGGTATTAATTACACGACAGTGACTTTGCTTTTTCTTCTTTGCGGCTTCTTCAATCTTAGGGCCATATGCAATGACTCGACTGATTGAAGGCGGTGATTAACATGTGTAAAAGATGCTATATAAAGTCGGGATTCGATCATTTTTTTTTCATTTAAAATACGTCTCTATTAGCACAACTTGCGCAACTTTGAGGTGAAAAGAAAATACTTGGCATGCGCGGCTTTGTCGTGTGTAAGTAATACTGAACAGTTACTCAGTAACAGTCGTAAAGAACTAAAAAGACGATTTCAGAAATAATGATACTTTGCAATAACAGATGCGCAGGAATTTAATAGATGTTCCATAAATAAATTATACACTAATAAAATCGTTACGACAATGGAGGTCAGAGTACTAAAAAGTGAGACATGTGTTATATCAGTAGTCTCAATATGAATCTTACGGGAACGCGATGTTGCTCTTCATCTTCACAATATAATAATTATGTTTCATGCACTACATCAATCTTGACTGTCTATTAAAATATCTACCATGTGAATCATCAAATAGAAAAATTACATATCATTGTAGTATCTCAAAGTAAACCGCATTTCCGCTTCTGATGCCTCCGTTCTCAGATCACAAAGTCTAGAAAGGACACAAGAATAATAAATCTTGCTTAAACATTTGAATGGATTGAAACATTAAACAAGAATAACGATGACAACAAAAGAAAGAAGAAAATTTGGGACAAGAACTCCTTCATTTGAGTTGAATAACGCCCAACTTTATATTACAGTAATACCACCAAGGAAATGAAATTCACCTACTATTTCAAATTTAAAAATGAATCCAATCCAAGGGACACTCTTACATCAGAAATCCCTATAAATGTGCAAGTTTTTAATTTATTTAAAATAGCTTGAAACTCTGACGTACTATGCAGAGAAGTGCAATCTGTGCACAGTTTCATTACCTCATTCGCGGAGCATTTGTGGAAAGGAAAGGCACATGGCACGCCGTATGGGAAATACATTCCTGGCATCATTTCTGCACTGCAGGTTTTGGTCCAGCGTAGACATGGTCGTATTTGTGATTGTCCCTTCACCCCTCATCGTCATCCTATCAGCTCATAACTCACACTTACTTCAAGGCGTAACAACCTTGTCGTACTGAGGGATACAGCTGAAAAGCTGATCCTGGAACTAATACACACATTAATCGTGTAGTGTGGTCAGTAATGACCTATACGCCAATAATAATAATAATAATAATAATAATAATAATGATAATAATAATAATGGTAATGATAATAATAATGATAATGATAATGATGATGATGATAATGATAATAATAATAATGATGATGATAATAATAATAATAA